ATTTTTATTTTACCCATATTTTTAGATTTCATTCGGAAATTGTCAAGCTCTAATTTTCCTGGAATTATCAGAGATAGTTTGCTCATTCTTAGCCAAAATTTTTAAGAGCTACTTATTTAGAGTTGTTCCCATCTTTGGGGCTTGATCTGTGAAATCAAAGGATTGATTTATATAGTGTTAATGGTTTCTAAGCTTTGAAATATATCTCCTCGGTATTTTTTTTTCTTTCACAAAGTTTTAAAATAATTGTTTATAGTCAGTAATATATTTAAACATGCAAAATGCAATTATCCTTTTTTAATTATGAAGATTTAAATTATGCTGAAAAGTATCATATATACGAAGTCTGTCCAGACTTTCGAAGGCTATCCAGCCATTTAATATGAAAAATAGGGACATTTATTGAAGTACAAGATACAGGACACATTGTGCATAGGACAATGATGCCTCAGTCCCCTTCAAAGTAGATTCCTAGGGACCTCACACAGTTCTCCCAATTGCTATCAGCTGCTCCATTGTATTTTCCTCAATCTCATTCACAGTCTGAAATCGCTTCCCATTCAAAGGTGATTTTAGTTTTAGGAAAAGCCAGAAGTTGCAGGGTGCCAAATCTGGGGTGAAGGGGGCTGAGTCACCTGAGTGATTTGATGTTTCGCCAGAAAACTTTGCATGAGACATGATTCGTGAGCAGGTGCGTTGTCATGATGAAGCTGCCAATCACCAGTTGCCCATAGGTGTTGCCTTCTGAATCATCCAAATAGTTTCCATGGAGGAATGTTTAAGCTTAAGGCAAATTTGATGCAGATTTGTTGCTCTACTCGTTTAGTCATTTTTAATGCGATAGCTACACATCACACATACTCACTTAATAGTGTCTACCGCCCCCACTGACTAGTACAGTGAAGGCATCATTGTTCACGCATGCGCATTCCAGTCCACTCTCCTTGACTACCAGCTGACATCGATGTCGTGCAAATTGTTCTCATTATATTAACAATGGCTAGACTTTTTCCAGCCTCGTATACTTTCATATAAAGTATAGTATATATACTTTCATCTGTATGGTATGTATACTTCTGTAGTGTATAGAATACAATTTAAGAAGTGTTTGCCTATGACTGAGCTATAATAAGGCTTAACATGGTGCTGCATTTCCTGCAGCAGCGCAGGCTCTACCTCTGCCACCCTTAGTGCAGGAGGGGTGTGGTTTACAGGGCTCCACACTGCAGCCTCAGCAGCAGGATTTTTTTAGGGCTTTGGGGTATGAATTTGTTGGTGTTTCCCGATTGTAGCTGCTCTAGCTCCTAGGTGAGGGATATACAGGCAGTGAAAACAAATTAAACAAAACCCCCTCAAACCTCAGGAACTCGTCATTGGGTCATCCCTTGAGTTCAAAGGCCTTTTACCTACTTCTTACCTTTTAGGACATTGTTCTAAAATTTCTTCCATCTCATCAACTTTTTCTTCTATTAAATTCTTATTTATGCCAATCAATATAAAAACAGGCTATTTTTCCCAATTTTAAAATAAGCTTCTCATCTCTCTTTATCACACTTAGTCCTCCTGCTACTTTTTCTCTGCGTTTATCAATGATACAATGTTATTTAGTTGATTTATACCCAATCTTCCTCTTTATACCATAATAATAAAGTGGTTCATTAAAGCAGTACAAAAACTTATTTTAAAAATATGTACACTTGCACAAACCTGACATATTTTAAATTTTAATGTTTTATATCCTGTACCCTATTTAGCTGAGAAGTTCAGAGTAAATTTGAGCAATAAAGTACATGTCCTAAGCACCAGGTAATTAATTATTCATTTGTAACACTCCTAAAAATATATGAGCATGATATTTAAATTGAGGGGAGAAATGCATCATCTCCTGGTTAAGTGGAAAATTGTGCAGTTTGCTTCTAGAAGACTTTAATTCCAAGCAGCTTTAAAGAAACATTTTGTGTAGAAGTTTAAACTTTCTTCAATTAATAATAATTCACATTCATGGAGTGGTATTCCTATTAGTCACTTGAATTTAGTAATACTCCTACTCATTTTGTTCTCAGCCAGGCTTATTTCTTCAGCCCAGCCAACATTAAGATTGGTCATTACCATCCATACCATCCATTGTGCTGCTCTTGTACTTCCCACTCTATCAATTAAGAACAGGGAACTCACCTTTGAAGCCTCACCAAGGATTGCGTGGGACGTGATTGCGGCAGAGGCATAGAGTCCATAGCCCTGGGGGCACTGCGGTCGTGTCGAGAGCCGCTCAGGTGTCCCAAGTCACCCAGATGCTACCCCCTAAAGATTCTCTACTCCTGACTTCTTAATATTTAGTTTCAAGCTAGAAAAAGTGAACCTAATTATGAAGAGAGGTTCTCAAAAATAGCATCGAAGTGTTTATTTTTTCTAGTATTTTTCCTTCATTCTGAGTAGATACTATCTTTTCCTCAGTATTGCAGCCTCCTGCTGAGCCCCTGCCAGCTGCCACTGACTGGGATCACTACTCTCTTTTGAAACATTGTTTACTTGGCCCCATGACCCTAAACACTGGTTTTATTCCTGTCTTGTAGTGTGCCCTCTCGGTCTCCTCCATGGGCTCTTCCTAAGGATCTGATGAGTTCACAGTGCCATCTGCCCCTCCAGGCGCATGCCTTGGACCCCTTCTCTGCCTGGACAAGCAGTTTCTTGGCTCCAGGGCTTTAAGACCCGTCCACAATGCCAATAACTTCCAAACTGCTCCCTGCTGGGCAAGCTCTTGAACTCCATTACACATATCACTTGCATGTTCATTTACTAACTTAAACTTAACATCCTTAAACTAAGCTCCTAATTATTCCCCAACTCCCAAAAAGTAAAACCTATTCTTCTCACCCATCTCAGCAAATGCTGACGTTATGCCTGGGCTTGGGTCAAAAAACAAAAACAAAAACAAAAACAAAAAAAAACCTTTACCTTTCTTTCAAATGTTCCATCCATTTATTCAGTTAATCTGGTTTGTTGTACCTTCCACATACATTCCCTGTGTCTGACCTCTCCTCATGACCTCCAACTGATAGTATCCGCACCTCCCGCATCCATCACCGCTTGCTTGTATTCTTGTCATAACCTCTTTAATAGAATCGTAGTTCAGGCTTGTTCTTTCCTTGAGGTTTTTGTACATGTTTCCTCTGCCTGGATTACATTTTTTTCCTACTAAACTCGCAGTTTCTTCTCTTATTATCTTTTATTTTTTTAGAGATTGATTGATTGATTGATTGATATATAGAACGAGGGGAAGGGAGGGAGAAAAAGAGGGAGACAAATAACAGTGTGTGGTTGCTTCTTGAGCCCTCAACTGGGGACCTGGCCCTCAACCCAGGCATGTGCTCTGACTGCGAGTTAAACTGGTGACCCTTTGGTTGGCAGGCAGGCGCTCAATCCACGGAGCCCCACCAGCCAGGGCTATCTTTGATTTTTAAATGTTCCTCCTCACAGTTGCAAGCATACTTCTACCCCAGCAATAATTTCCTTTTCACTAATTTGTTATTATCTAAAATACTGACCATCATTTGTAACATCCTTAAACTATTTATCAATTGTTGATGTCCATCCAATAGAATATACTTTGCATGAGGACAGAAAGTTTTATCTTTTATTGTTGTATCTCCCGTGCCTAGAACAACACTGGCCCATTGAGCTTACCTCTGCCTTTCCTGGCAGTCAGATGAAAATAGGAAATACAACTTACTGCATCATTCTCCTTGTCACATATAAGGATGCCTTTAAATCATTAGAAAGACAAAGTGTTGCCTTACACTAAGTTATATAAGAAACACCGAGGATAGATCTTGTAGATCTTGTATATACAAGAAAAAGCATAAGGAGAGATGCCTTAGTAATTTTAACAATAAATCCAGTGATACTATTCCTATCTTTACGTTTCATTTTAATAGTGTTTAATTGCTGAGGGCATAACATGAAAGGTACGTATCCAAAAACATAGAAGTCATTTCTGTTTAAAACAATTTGAAATATTTTTCTCTAAAGGTGGCAGTTTATTTTTTCTTTTTAAAATTCAATTTATTGGGATGACATTGGTTAATAAGATTATATAGGTTTCAAGTGTACATTTCTGTGATGCATCATTTGTAAATTGCATTGAGTGCCCACCCTCAAGATTCAGTCTTTTTATTTTTTATTTTTTTAGCTTAAAATTTTTTTATTGTACTATTTTTTCCATTATCATTTAGTCCCCTAATACTCCCTACCCCCACCCCCGACCCCTCTGCAATCACCAAAGGTGGCAGTTTGAATCCTGTGTAACACCTCACTCTTGTGTTACCTGTGAAGCTGCACTTGACGTTTACCATTCAGCCGTCTCCCCTGGGTTTCGGCATTACACATGGACAAAATTAAACATAAATTGTTTACCCCTGTATTCTTTTCTAATCACTTGTTAATGACAGTCATTTCTGTAGAACAATGTTTACCAGAGTCATTTTAAAATTGCTAAAAGTAAAAATTATCACAGTAATAAAGGAACAAGTAAATTTATTAGAGCATATGATGAAATATGTTAGCTATTAAAATTCATGTGTTCAGAAGTTTTTGATTTTATTAAGATATCAAAATGTCTAACTGCCAGTCATTCTATTTACAAACTTTTAACTGGAATAAAATGCACCAAAATATTTTGTATTTTTCTCTAGTAATAAGATTACAGATGACTTTTTTAATATTCTTACTTTTATGTAGTTTCCAGAATGCTTATGGTATTTGTAGAATTTTTATGATGAGAACAGAAATAATAAATATGATTTTTAAAGAGTTAGGTCTTCTTTCATATCTATATTTTGCTTTTTGTTGCTTAATGCCAATGATTTATAATATGCTAGTTTAACTTAGGCCACTAATACTTAATGATAATCATTTTCAATACTGATATGCAGTATGTTTTCCCTTTGTTTACGAAGCAGTTTTTAAAATTACATATCAGGGTTGTGTTTTTTTCCCCACAGACAGTCTTTTGATTGACTATCAGTTTACCTTCAGCTTATTACAGGAAGACGACCGCCATCATACTGCCATAAACTTCATAGCAAACCCAGAACAGGTGAGAAGACAATTGAACTTTTATCAAACAATTCAATTTATAACAAGGGATACCAATTTTTTGTGTTCTTGATCGCAATTTTTCCTTTTAGAATGATCACACTTAACTTTCTTGGTTCTTAACTGCCATTAGATGTCCATGCTATATGCTTGTTCTCTCAGAGCTCTGGGTCAGGTGAGACAGAAAAAGGTCCTTGGGGTTGTGCCATGAAAGGTCAAGGATGTTGGGAGTATGGCATGTTCTTTTTTTGTCCCCTGAGGGGGAAACTCTAGGCTAAGGTGATTGCGCTGATGCTGCGCTGTGCTGGCCTCGGGGAGGGGCACATGGGTAAAGCGTAATAGCTCTTCTTACCCACTATAATGTGCCAATTTTCAATTTTGCATTCACCTTTGGTACTGCCACTTCTTAACTGGATTTTGGTCCTCTCATAAAGGCATTTTGCTCATATATCATTGGCTTTTTTGTGGAGGATGAGGGCTTGGACTTCTTATCCTGCCATCTTGCCGATGCCACTCTCTCTGTTTCTTGTGTTGTCTTATTAGAGATTAATCCACCTTATTAAATCTGTATTATGTATTTTAATAGTTTTCCAAATAGGTGAAACCTCAAAATATTTCCTGAAATTTGCTAGGTTCTTTTCTCTAAAATATTTTGTAAGACTTCTTAACAAATTATATAATTTCTTACATTTCCCTTTTCCAGTAAAATGGGATCCCTCCTTCCAAAGAAAAAAGAGAACAGTTTATTTTATGGTACTCCTTATTCTTTAGATTTTTAAAGAGTCTAAAATCTAAAATTCTTGGGAATATATTTAAAGTTTTGACTTTTAAATAAGGCTTTTTAAAGGTGTTTCTTCAAACTATGATCCTATCCTCACTGATGTGTTTTTTTTAAGACATATTAATTATATGTCAGAAACCACATTTATCAGTGTGATAAGAATTTTTTTATCAGTGTATTGTAATTGCCATAGATTTCTTTCCTATTGTGGTAATATACACATAAAATGAAATTTGTCATCCTTAACACTTTTAAGTATAAAATTTGGTGGCATTAAGTACATTTATAATGTTATTCAGCCATCACCAAAATTTTTTATCATTTTAAACAGAACCTCTGTATCCATTAAGCAATAACTCAAAATTGCTTTCCTCCCTCCAGGCCCCAGTAACTTTTATTTTACATTCTGTTTCTATGAATGTATGTATTCCAGGTATATGTGTAAACATGCCATATTTGTCTTTTCGTGTCTGGCTTATTTCACTTAGTCTAATGTTTCCAAAGTTGACCCATGTTGTAGCATGTATGAGAATTTTATTCTTTATCATTGGCTTCTTGAATGCTTCATAGTGATTCCAAATTTGTAGAGCTCTTTGAGGATATAAAAGTTAATCTAACTCAAAATGTAGGTGTGAAAATAATAACCCTTTTCAGTATTATCAATAGCGCCCGGCACATGGCTCCAGATTAGCCATAATTCTAGTTTGCTTCTCTTTTGACTGTCTTCCCCTCCTTCAATTTTTAGCAATCCTTGGGTGCTTCCAAATGTCCCAGCTTTCAGTTTTGCTTTCTACTCTCTTGTCCAATTGAAGCCAATTGCCTGGACACAGGTTATTTGAAAGGATGCTAAACTACCATGAGAGGATACCATGAAGGATGCTATAACATTATTAAATTTATAATTATATAATTATCATTTATGGTTAAAGAGTTATTCACTTTGGAAAAATTTCTGAAATTAATGTGAATTATTGATCAAGGCTTCCTACTTATCCTACAAAAATAAATAATAAAAAATAGGTGCCTTAATTATTTATGCATTTTTGACATTTTGACAAAAGATTTAATTTAAACTGATGATGTGTCACTTCTAGCCAGTGCTTTCATGTCAACAATTTCTGGAATAGTTTCACATTAACATTTTTTCTAACTTATCCACATGTAACCAACAATGTTCTAAGTGACTAGTTTTGTCACTTACTGTGGTAATTACTGTTTCATTTCTTTCAGTCCAGCATTTTCTCTTGACCTTAAATGACCTTTATGGGGCTTTAGTTATGGTACATGTATTTCACTAATGGCTAAACTTGGAATTGATAGCGGATGAACTAATACTTCAAGAAGAGTTTTATAGTTTTCTATCAATTGGAAATTTTTTGACCTTTTTAGCAGAAATAGCAGTTATTTTCATAATTCTCCTACCCCAAAGAGTTATGAAGATGGGACTTCAAGATAAAAATATTGATTTAAGCTTTCTTAGGGATTCACTGTTTCTACCATGTTTTGTTTTTTTTAAAAACAAAGCATTTTATGAAATACTTTATTAATAATAAACAACCATCACCTCCTTGGCAAATATGCTCTCTTTCTGAGTCCCCTCGTGAAGATGGAGATGAAGAAAGGGAGGAAGACACCCTTGTCACCAGACCTAATCATTTCAACAATGCTACCATTTTCAGCACTGTGGCCAGAAATGATGCTGTTTTTTTGAGAGTTTATCTTACTGGATAGTCCCAAGAAACTCTTTAAGGAGGTCATCATATCCCCATTTTAGAGATAAGGAACGTGATTTTTCAGGAAGGACAAGTAGCTTTCCCTAAATCGATCAACACGTATGTGAAAAAACTAATTGGAACCCACGCTCATCTGACTCAACAATGCATACTCTGCATTAATTCATTTCATTGCCTTAAGAACATGATTTAATGAATGTGAAGCAGTAATTGGTTTTCAGGTCTGGGTAGTTCATTGTGAGGACATAAGGCAGTCTTTGTGATCAGAAGGCTTTCTTCTTTTCGTTTCCGGGGTTTCCTTAATGTAACATGATGTTGAAAGAGATGTTGCTTACCATGTCCACACCTTCATAACAGCATAATGTTTTGAACAGACGTCTCAGCACGCTGACATAAAAGCATTTTGTATTTATTGCGAGAGCCCTAGTGGTGGCATTATCCAGATTCAGTGTCCATTGTTTTCATGCATATTATCAAAGAAGTAGCAAGGTTTCAAGAAGTTGGACGGTTCTGTGGTACATATTGTGAGAGGTATCTGAACAGCTTATCGATAGAACTGAATGTGTTAAGTTCCTTCTTACAGTCATGGCCACATATGAGTATGACTCTGGTGGATAGTGCAGTATCCTTCTGAACCACTGTATATATTTAAACTCTCAGGCTTTATTTATTTATTTTTTGATTAGTTTGAATTCTCAGACACTGAGTCTGCAGCATTAGAGAACACTACCCTGAAAATCTGTATGGCATTCAGGGAGATGACCACTCTTCTTCATCCTCTATCTTCTTCCTGGAAACTAGGAAGAGAATGCTTTCCGATAGTTGTGGAGCATTATTAGTAGTTCTTCATAGAGGCCCAGCTATCCCTCTATCTGTGGCAATCATTAAGGGTAGGTATTATTTTGAGGTAAAAAAAAATTGGATCTCAGTTTACCTTTCAAATGGAATGATGCACACATCCAGCAGCCTTTGCCTTCTATGGTGCTCCTTGTTTCTGCTCTTATCCATCAAAAAAGGGTGGTGAATTTCAGTAATTTCCTGTCATGACTGTTGCATCAGATATAGGGAACTTAACTGTTTACAGACATTTTCTCTGAGTCAATCAGAAATTGGAGATGTATTGTCTATCGGCCTACCTGTTATATCTAATTTATAAAAAAGTAGTAATGCTAAGGAGGTTATTTATATATTTTCTAGTAGCCAGGTCTTACCTAGCAGTACAGCTTTTTGTTTGAGTCTGTGTATTTAAAATGCAGCACTACGCATTCAATATCTGAAGCTAAACTTGTTCAATATGATTATCATTCTGTCTGTTTTTGCAGAACTAAATAGTTACAATCATATGAACTTTCCGTTCCTCATTTCTTGGAGTAAGATAATAAGAAAAACATTTAAAGAAGTCTTTTATGCATTTGTATTCTTGAAGTTAAATCAAACTAGTGAATGAAGGGAAGAAAACAGGTTGACTGACAGATTCTTCACTGTTTCTCTGTACAGATGTTTAAATGACGTGGTCTCCTTTTTTCCCCCAAGTAGTTTCATCACTTTTACCTGAAAGCTTTAGTTTATATAGTATAAGTATTTTTTAACTAGAAAAAGTGTGTATAATAGAATATACACCTAACAAGAAGCTTTTCAACAAAATAATACTATATTGTTGCAAAATTTTTGGACTAATCCAAATCTGTATCATTTAAATATTAACTACAGATAAGTGAAGAAAATTAAAATACAGATACTGGATTACAGGAGCCTCCGGCCTACATATAACAGGCCAGATTTTAGTAGAGGAGATAAGTGGGAATCTTAAATCTATTTTTGAATTTATCGCCTATGTATATATTATTTACTAGAGTATAATTGGCAACTACACTTAGTTGAATGTTGTCATTATAAATGTGTAGAGTTCAACAAATATAGCATGGACATAATTAAAATATTGGTCATATCTGTGTAGTATAATTTGATTTTTTAACCTTCATATTTTTTTCTTGATAGTCAAACAAAAATTTGGATATTTCTATTAATGCATCGAACAACTTTAATCTCAACATTACATGGTCAGTTGGTTCAACAGGTAAGAGAATTTTGTTGCCATGTGTCTTTCACATCAGTTTCTCTGTGGAAGGTGCTCTAACATGACCTTTTATTATTAATTTAAATAACTGAACTGAAAAAATATTATATGTGTTGTGGTATTCCAGGTAAAAATAATAAGTAGCGCTATTAATAAAGCTTTATAACTTTGTTAACTTTCTATTTTATTAAAAAAAGATGGGAAACAAATAGTGTACATGACAATTTTTTTAAAAATGGCAGTGCCATGAATTGCTGTGATTTTAATTAAGATAGATTACTTCTTAAATAGCTAAAAATATCAATTATTTGATTCATTATTGAAAGTACATTTAATTATTAACCTTATATTGATATAAAACAATGAAATTCTTCTCTGAATGCTGATGAATTAACAACTTATCTATTACTTTCAAATTTAGAAATCTATCTTCCCCCTATCTTGGTCAGCTTTGTTGCAGAGGGACGGTTAAAAACAAAACCTATACTTAATATGTTTTCCATAATAAGATTCATAAATTAAATTGCTGACTTTTAAAAAATGTAACTAAGAAGAAGTATAAATCTGTATGTTGGATTTTGAAAAATCACTATTTTTTAAAATATATTTACATCTTAGGAAATTTTTTGGCTTTCTATTGTCTATGTCAAAGATATACTGCTACATAAAAGTACTTGAAACTTTTTTTAAAGAATTGTAACTGAACAGTAATAAAAAAAAGAAAGTATTCCGTATTTGATTTCTGAAAATTAAGTCATTATGTTATTTAAATATGTAGGATCATGGAAACAGAATTCAAGAGTGATTAGGTCTTTGACATTCCAGAACTTATAATACATGCATAAAAAATGAGAAGTTCAAGCAGACATATGGACATTTTGTTACATTAGTGCAAACATATGGTAAAATCTTGGCACTGTGAGTTTCATTAATTAATAATTCATGGTGACTTGTACTGTTTGTTTGAACTTTACTTCTGTGCAATAAACCAGCTCTACAAGTTTTAAGGTTTGTCAACAAAAATATATAAAACTCTGTAATCACCTTAGAATACTGATTTTAGTACATAAGAAATTACTTGTAACTCAGATACCCAGAACCAAATGTCAGAAATGTTTATTTATCAGGTTGGGAGATAGGGGTCAGGAAAAATACACATTTTTAAAAGCATCTACGGCAATTTTGGCATAATGATGAGTTAGAAATTAATTCAGGTGTTCAGCATATAATTTTAATAATTTTTATTTTTTGTTAAGCAGAGGGCTTGGTAAGATTGCTGGAAATGCTTTATTTCATTTGGTTGATTTCAGTAAATATTTATTGAAATTTTTTTCAATATGTGTTTAACTGATTGAGCATTTAGTTCATATTTTACATTATAGCCTCCTCCCAATTTGCTCAAGTTAGTGATATTGCAGTTTGGGAGAGGACAAATAAATTGTTTTTTTCCAATTTTTTAAATTTAATTGAGACATACAAAATATGGCCTGATTTCTTTGGAAATGCTCTGTAGAGTAGTACATAGAAAGAGCTTAGTTTCTGGCGCCACATATACCTGAGTTCCAAAGAGGGCTTTCCCGGTCAGCAGCTACCTACGTGAGGCAGGTGCTTTCATCTTTCTGAGGCTTAGGTTTCAATTTGAAAAATAGAAATGGAAGTTGGAACACCTCTGGAATAAAACTGTTATTAGAAAAGAATAAAAGTCTCTAAGCTAGTGCCTGGTACATAGTACTTAGTCAGTAGTATGATTTTCAAAAATAATTTTTATCCTAAAGCTATTTCACTATATGTATGACAAATCTTATATTTCTCCTCTGTCGCTCTAAATTGTGAACATGAGTATATTTTGATAATTATGTTCTTATAAGTAGTTGTAACAAGAAGTATACATTCTTAAGTTCATAAAGATCAATTTTCTAATATGAATTATTTAATTTTGTTTTTACATTTTAGCTGGGACGATATCCGGGGAGGAGACCCCCATAGTTTCCAAGACTAATATAAAGGAATACAGAGATAGTTTTTCCTATGAAAAATATAACTTTAGAAGCAATCCTAACATTACATTCTATGTGTACGTCAGTAACTTTTCCTGGCCCGTTAAAATACAGGTAAGTGTTAACATAGTATTAAGTCTAGTGACTGTTGAGTACTTTCTTTAGAAAAAGAATGTGGTTTCTTTCACAGTGATGATATAGTTGGATTTCTATGCTTTGAATAATATGATAAAAGGGTTCATGAATGTTTGTGATTAGTATCTCCATAAAAAAATTCATAAAATAATATTGAATCAACCAAAGAATATACTTTTTAATGAAGTTATATTCTAAAATGCATCAAACTTGAAATAACTAGATTATTTGGGTTTTCTGATTAATTGTACACTTTAACTGAAGGTTAAGTAAATATTCTTTTCCTACAATACCATTTGAAAGTATTTGCTATGTTTAGTATTCTCAGTTTAGTATTGAATGTAATTTAAATTTGCATTAAAAATTAAGCACTAATAGTACTTACTAGTTCTTTCAGACCCACTGCCTCTCATTGCTGATATCTTTATCTCTGCCATATGTCTATCTATAGTGTGTGTTTCTTTTTTTATTGTGGTAAGTGATAGGCTCCTAAAGGCTTCAGGTTTATTGCTAGGAAATATTTATGATGTTCTTTCTCTCTTGAAATGTTCAAGGTTTGAGTTCTTAATTTATGGTTTTTATGAGAGTAAAGTCTACATTTTGTAATGTTGGTATTTGTTCATTTATTCATTCTTTTATGACTGTTTAATTTCAATTAGTTCAAGTTAGTTTATTGAATAGCATGTGCCAAGTCCTGTGCTGGGTCAGCCTGTTTCAAAATCTTTTAAAAATTTGCAGATCATTCCTCCTTCTTTTATATTAATAAATGACAATTTTAAAATCGGTGACTACAAATGTTTGCATGTTTTATTTATATTAATGTCCATGTGATTTGTGGGAGGACTTCGTGATTTTTAAAAATCATGTTTTACTGAAAAAATCTATGGAGCTTATTAAGTAGTAAATAAAATGGATATAGTGGTTATATATTTAATTGTTTCATGCCCTTTATTCCTTGGTTATCTAATTGTATTTTATTTTTAAGAAAATTACATAGTTACTTTAGAATGCTTATGAATATTTAATGGTTAGAAATTAACTTTCTAAATTGGATTTTCTTTTGAGAACATACTAGTAATATGTTCTGGATGCCAAACCAGAATTTGTGTAATAAAGTTGAAATATTCCTCTCTCTCAGAGCAATAAAATGTAGAAAAACAACTCTGATGGTCAAGATAGGTAGTTCATAATTTCTGTTTCTTTATTAAAATCATTATATTAGTCATGAGAAATATGTTTTACTAAGATACTTGTAGATGAGTATGTGTATTTGTTTATAGGACTATAATAAACTTTCAATTATTAAAAATAAAATAGTAGACTTTTTTCAATTTTAATATATTTTCTAATAGAGTTGAGTTACATTCATTGATTTTTGAATGTTTAACCAACCATGCTATTCAGTGGTAAGTTCCACTTGTTCATATATATTATTGGATTTGATTTCTTTTATTTTTGTTAAGTTCTTTTATACCTATGTTATCGAGGAATGTTAGTCTGTAGTTTTCTATTGTAATCGTTTTTGATTTGGTATTATAGTATTGCTGGCCTTACGAAATGAGTAGGGCGGTAGTCCTCTCTCTGTAATTTTCTGAAAGAATGTGTGTAGAATCTGTATTATTTTTCCATGAATTTCCTTAAATTATTTTAGTGATTATTTTATGGCTTATCATAGACATTTTTAACTCATTGCCTACCTCCAAGTAATAGTACATCACTCATTTTTGAACATTAACCTTAAGACAGTACACTTTCATTTCCTTCCTTCTGGTCTTTGTACCACTGTTGAGTATATTTTGCTGCTTTATATATTATAAAATCCATACTACACTTGCTACTTTAGATATTGGCTATTGTATTTAAATATATTAAAAATAATAACTTTTTGTAGATCTAGATTTCTGTCAAGTATTTTCCTATGTCCCAGTGGTCATCCTGTAACACTGGAATGCAGATCTGCAGGCTATGAATTAGATCAGCCCATGTTTCTGAAAGTGTTTATTTCACTTTTTGGGGGTGGTGAAAGAATTCTAAATTGTAGCTTTCTGAAATTGTTTTAGAGAAGGTTCTCCACTGTCTTTTGATTTACTATTGTATCTTACGACAAATCTGCTTTTAACCTTATTTTTCCTTTGTATATAATGGGCCTTTTTTTTCTCTTTGCATTAAAATTTTTTCCTCTTTATTGTTAGTTTTGGCCAATTTGATTATGATGTTCATAGGTGTGGTTTTCTTTATGGGTTTTCTTTCTGTGCATGAGTTCCATTGAACTTCATAAATTCATAAAATTAGAATTTTAACCAAATACGGAAAACTTTGAGCCATTATGTCTCAAGATTTTGGCTCCTCTCTGCTCTGGAATTCCAGTTGTATGTATATTAGATTGATTGAAATTGTTCCTTGACTTACTAATACTCTGTTCTTTTAAATTATGTTTTCTCTCTGTGTTTCATTTTGCGTATTTTTCTTCCTGTGTCTTCAATTTCATTAACATTTTCTTTTCTAGTGTTTAATGTGATATGAGTCCCATCCAGTGTATTTTTTCAACACACATATTTTTTATCTCTAGAATTTTGATTCATTTTAAAAAAATATCTTCTATGTCTCTACTTAATATGCTCCATCTTTTATCTGCCTTCTTGAATATATATATATTACAGTTATCACAACTCTTAATGTCCTTGTCTATAAAATTCTGTCATTTGTGTAATTTTTGAGTTTCCTTCTCTTGTTTTTATGCTGTTCCTTCTTATGGATTGTATTTTGATTAGATGCTCAACATTCAGAATTTTCCCTTTTTGGGTGCCAGATATTCACTAATATTGGTAAATATGTTTTAGTTTTGTTCTGGGATGGAGTTAATTTACTTGGCAAAGTTTTGACCTTTTCAAGGCTTAGGTTTGAGGGGTGATCATTTCCCTGTTAGGCATGGCCTTCTTGGCACTCTGTGCCATTTGAATCACAAGGTTTCACGCTCTGACTAGTGGGACCATAAACTATTCCCAGCTCCGTGTGAGTTTTGAGAATATTTCTCTCTGCTCCTTTGAGATCATTCTTTCCCCAGCCTTGGATAGAGTCTTGACCAGTAAGTAGCATTCACCTGAAGGACCAAAGACGCTCTTAGCAAAGCTCTGGAGCATGCTGGGAAGTTCTTTCTTCCCCAGTACACGGTGCTGTAACCACTAGCCACCTTAGCCCTGCCACATTCCCAGCTTCCTCTCTTCAAATCAGCAACATTCCTGAAATGCACCTGTGTTTACTGTCTGTTTGATGCCTCTTCAAAACCATGATAATCCGTGACATTGAAAGGCTCACCTCATTTTTTTTCCACTTGGAATGATTATCCTGCATTGCTTGATAGCCAGTGTTTGAAAACAGGTGTTCCAGATATTTCATCTGTTTTACTGGTTGTTTAGACATGAGGATAAATCCATTCCCTGTTACTCCATTTTGGGAGGATAGAAATTTTCCATATAATTTTGAGTCTAAATAGTAAATAGAACAAATGTGGTAACCGTAAGTTTGTTCAATGACTGAGGGGACTGTTAATATATATGTTGTTTCATGTTTACTTATAAATTGTTTTGTTTTTTTTTAGTAGCTTAGATTTATGCTTCCAAGTTCTTTTCAGATAAATGGTAATTAGGTTACAGATATATTTCTATATATTTTAGGTTTCATAAAGACATTCTACCACAGATTCCAACAAGCTGCAAGTTATGAGAAAGTTTATAATCCATAAATGAAATTGTTCATAAATATTTACAAAGTACACTCTGTGGAAGCAGTTATCTTAAAAAGTGGCTGAAATAAAAAAAGTACAAAAAAACCCCTAATTCCTACTGAAAAATACCAATCACACCATGAGATACCAAAAATACTTTTTAAAAAAATAAATATCACTGTTTCCTTTTCACAAAATGTTATCAATGGATTTCTAACAAACAAAAATATTGTTCGTGGTCAAAATTAACATTTAAATTTCATGACCATTTTTACATAATTTATTTTAACATTTGCTAATATTTGCTCAATAGAGTTGCTACACAAAGAGAGACCTTTATGTATATAGCTGAAAGAAAGTACTTCAGGTTATTTTAGCCTTTCAACTTGTAGTTTAAATTTTTCAATTGTGCTGTAGTGTAAAATATGTATGAAGATTTAAATATTTAATTATTTGTTTACATAAAAAATATTTGTGTCATATCCTCGTTATAAGCAAAACATTTCACATAAATTTTACTTCAATTAATATCAATAGTATTTTCATACTTAATTTTTTCCATCACAATTCTATTGAGCACTTTTGGTTGTAGTGTTTCCATTATGTATTTGAAGAGATTGAATAGATCAATTTAAAAAGTATTACTTGAATAAGGAGTTTTTCCTGTTATGTGAGAAAATAGAAGTTTTCATTTGTCTTGATCCAATTTCTGTCTAATGTAACTAGTGAGATAAAACAATTTAGCATGATAATAGATCTTTGTAAATTTCTACATATACTGACCAAAATAAAAAATTACGGTAATGGTATCTTCTGTATTTCATCAGTCAAATGTTAATACAAAGTAGTGCTTTTTGCAGAAATGGCAGAAATTTAACATGAGGTCTGTCCAGAAGAAATCCAGCTATGTAATATGAAAATTAGAGACATTTATTGAAGATGCAAGATGCAAGAAACATTGTACACAGGAGTGTGATGCCTCAGTCCCTTCCAAAGTAGGCACCTTGGAACCTCACACAGTTCTCCCAATTACCATCAGCTGCCCCATTGTATTTTCCTGAATCTCACTGACAGTCTGAAATCTCTTTACTCTCAAAGGTGATTTTAGTTTTGGGAAAAGGCAGAAGTCGCAGTGCACCAAATCTGGGTGTAGGGGGGCTGAGTCACCTGGGTGATTTGATGTTTCACAAAAAAACTATGCGTGAGACATGATGCATGAGCAGGAGTGTTGTCGTGATGAAGCTGTCAATCACCA